TTTGGGAGCTGGTTGGGTTGGTGGGAGATCGAGCTTAGTGGTGTGCGTTCACAACATAAATTTTGCGAAATACGTCGAAATATTGGAGGAAGGTCTCTTGCCACTTTATTCCTCGGGTTTCGTGGACAAGAACACAACGTTGTTCCAGGAAGATGGAGCACCGTGTCACACTGCTAAAAACCCCAAAAGTGGCAGGAATAAAATGGTATCCATAAGTTGCCCTGGCCGAGCCAATCTCCTGACATGAACCCCATCGAAAACCTCTGGGCCATACTCGACCAGGCAAGTCAAGAAACAACCAAAAAAAAAACAACTTCGAAGAATGATCTACTCCAAGTTTTGAAGCAAGAGTGGACAAAAATTCCACAATCTAAAATTGACGAGATGATTCTCATGATGCCCCAAAGGGTCAACAAACTCCATGAAGCGAAAGGAAGATCTACAAGATATTAATTAAATTATAAATATATCAATTCATGTGAATATGACTGAAAAATTTCATTTTTACTATATTTACACAGTGTGGTCACAAACAAACAGACACCACCTTTTCAGTAATAATGTATAGTATTAAAAAAAAGTCCATTTTGAAGTTTTATCAGGAAGCTATTACAGAGATGGAGTGCATTTAACAAAAAGGTTGCAAATGTAAAACCTTTGGAATAACAAATGGAAAAGTGAATAGTAATTTTATTTTGGTGAAACAGTGATGAAAAACAAGTGTTTTTGAGCATGATGCCTCATTGTATGTTGCTGTTTGATAGCCTAGTATATTTTATAATGTGTATTTCTTTATTTTGCAGCTGGTGTTAATGCTTCCCACTACTCAGAAATGTTTGTTCTATTATTCACACAGACTATGGCTCAACTTGAACAGGTAAAGATAAGTGATAGTTTTTTTTTTTTCTTTTTCACTTCACAGTTTGTATCAAACACATCATTGAAATCTTAAAATTGCAGGGATTTTAAAGTACTTCTACATTTTTGGAACAACAAGAAATTTTTTGGAGGTGCAAATAATATCTTCTGATATATAAATGAGGCATGGATTGTTGCTAGTAATAGAGTTTTAGTTACAGCCACTAACTTGCTTGGTCTTGCTGTTTAGTTCCTTGTATAAACTAATTTTTGGAAATATTTTCTTTTCTTCTGTTGAAAAAATGATAAAATCTTAAGCATCAAGAAATCTGAAAGTTATGTATAAATAGCAGCAAAAATAACATTCACTGAATATCTTAAATAAATGTTAAACAATAAATCATTTAATGAATTTATTCAAGCAATTTGATTGAGTCAAGTTTTGTAAAATGTTTTTAAATTGTGCCCCCCCCCCCAACATTTTTCATAAGGCTGCTTGCTTCCATCTGATTTAAGATATGTTGCAATTGGAATGATACTTTAAGGTATTTTGATGCCAATGAGAAATATATGTGTGACTGTGACCACTGTTATTCATTATTGCTGTCCACTATGAATGCTTCAGCTAGTGTTACAGATGGCATATTATTGTCCATGACATTTGTATCTTTTCAGCTTTGCTATTGAGTTATTATTACCCATTGCAAGTACTTTTCTCAGTATTAATAAAGTTTCTTTTTTTAAGATGCTTCCTCCAGCCACAAATATTAAAGAGGCTTACTCTAATGGGCAAGATGAAGAGCAGAAATTTATTCAAAATCTCAGTCTTTTCCTCTGTACGTACTTGAAAGAACATGGCAACTTGATAGAGAAGCGTACTGAACTTAATGAGACTCTTTTGGCAGTGAGTATTTTAAATTTTTTTTGTTTTTTGTTTTGTTTCATATAAATACTAGATGAATTACTCATTCCCTGCACACGTGTTCAAATTACTTGAAATAGGTGTTAAGAAACACAATGAAACTACTTTTAAGAACATTTATTAACAAAATTCAATTTTCCTAACATTTTAATTTTTATCTAAGCCTTTGATTTACAAAACAAAAATTACACAATCTAAATTAAAGCTTCTTGATATACCACATCGGCTCTTATTCCTTCTTCTGACAAAATTAA